TATTGGAAAGAAAAACCGTATGCCGTCAAGATCCTTCTTAGATCCTTCCCACAGTCTTTCTGTATGTAAGGTCCATCTTGTCTCCATTAAGTGCTCAGATTCCTTAAGAACCTAGCCAATAGACCACAAATGTTCAGATTCCTTAAGAGTCTGGCCAATATGGCAGATCTTTAATAAACCTTGTCTCTGGCTGGAAAAGAAAAAGAAAAAGAAAAACCGTATACACAAAGACTCAAAGTCATAACAGCACTTTCAGCCCTCATAATCAGTGACAACAGTTAGGAGTTTCATGACTCCAAAGATCAACTCACACCACTTTATCTCTTCTACATTGCCTTGCACACAGCACTCAATCAATATTTCTCTCCTCTGATACCGCCACCACCCTAGCACAGACCCTCATGACCTTCCGCTGGGACGACTACAATAGCTGCTGATGAGTCAGCCTGCCTCAAGACTCTCCCTACTCCAATCCATCCTCCATTCAACAATCAAGTGATTTTCCTTGGAGGGCAGGTTGGACTCTGTCGCCCCTCTACTCAATAAACTGCTGTAGCTCCCTGTCAACTCCAAGATTAAATAAAAAATCTTCTATTTGGTGCTCAAAATCCTTCTTCATCGACACACACACGCACACACACACACACACACACACACACACACACACACATTCTTCCATCCAGGACACTGACTTCCTTGCTATTCCTTGAACAAGACGTTCCATCACTGGGCTTTCCCTCATGCCTAGAACGATCTTGCTCTTCATCTCTACCTCCTGGCTTCTCCAACTCCCTTCAAGTTCCAACTAAAACCCCACCTTCTACAGGAAGTCTTTCCCAAGCCCTTTTATTTCTAGTGCCTTCCCTCTGTGGGTAATTTTTTCTATTTATCCAGTATAATAGCTAATTTGTACGTAGTTGTTTGCATATTGTCTCCCCCTTTAGACTGTGAGCTCCTTGAAGGTAGGGACTGTCATTCATCTTTTTTTTATCCTCAGCACTTAGCATAGTGCCTGACACATACTAGGTGTTTAATAAATGCTTATTAATCGATTTCAACTCAACAAGCATTTATTAGGTGCCTTTTATGATCTGAGAATTGTGCTGAAGACCATGGGGATAGAAAGGCAGAAATGAAACAGCCCCTATCTTCATCGTCTTGGGGGTATACAACATGTACGCTGATAAGTAAATTCATAATACATACATAAAAGTACCACATCTCAATCCGTACTACAAACTGTAACCATCAAAAATGATTTGGGACTAGTTTAAAAATAAACCAATCAGTGAAACAGATTCGATCCACAACCCATATAGGAGCAAACAAACCTAGTAGCTTTATGTTTGACAATAAAGACCCTAATTACCGACTTAACAACTCACTATTTGACAAAATAAGCTTCAGGGAAAACTAGAAAGCAGTCCAGCAGAAATTGGGTCAAACCAGCCCCTCACACTATACTACCAAGATAAGTTGTAAATGAATTCGTGACTTAGATATAAAAGGTTATTATAAAAAACTCTGAGGAGCAAAGAATATATTGCCTTTTCTATATATGAACAGGGGGAAAGTTCATGACCAAACAACAGAAAGAGAAGATTACAGAAGCTAAAATAGAGAACTTTGGCTAAAATTTAAAATTTAAAGTGTATGCAAAACAAAACCAACATAGCTAAGATTCGAAGGGAAATTCTTAAATAAAATCTTTAAAAGCCCAAAGCCTCACAGCAAGTTTCTCTGATAACAGTGTCAATTAGAAGATATATAAAGAATTGGTTCAAATTTCTAAGAATAAGAGTCATTCCCCAATTAATAAATGGTCAAAGGATATGAACAGGCAGTTTTCAAAGGAAGAAATCATGAAAGAAAAAAAAAGAACTGTTCCAACTAATAATTAGAGAAATGCAAATTAAAACAATTCTGAGTTTTGACCTCGTACCCCTCACACTAACAAAGTTCAAAAAAAAGAAAATGAAAAATGCTGGAGGGGCTGTGGGAAAACAGGGGCATTATGTCAGTGGAGTTATGAGCTGGTTCTGCTGATCTGGAAAACAGTTTGGAACTACGCCCAAAAATTTTTAAACCGAATACCCTTTGACCCAGTGATAACACTATTAGGCCTCTACGCTAAAGATTTCAAAGAAAGAGGAAAAGGGTTCACGTACAAAAATATTTATAGTGGTGACAAAGAACTGGAAAGTAAGGGAGTGTCCATCAATTGGGGCATGGCTGAACAAGATATGGTATATAAATGTAACAGAATACCACTGTGCTTTAAGAAATGATGAAAGGGAAAGTTTCAGAGAAACTCGGAGAAAACTGGCATCAAGTGACACAGAATGAAGTGAACAGAACCAGGAGAACCACTTTTTGCATTAACATTATAAAAATAAGCAGCTTTGAAAAACTTCAGAACTCTGATCAACTAAGTGAGCAGTCGCTATTGCAAAGGATTAGTGATGAAGAAGGCCATTCCTGACAGGGAGGTAGGTACTGTTATGATCCACATTTTACAGATGGGGAAATCAAGGAAAATTGAAGAAGTTGCCCAAAGTCACATAGCTAGTAAGCATCATCGGAGGCTATCAGGGGTGGAGAACCTGCAGCCTCCAAGATCACATGTGGCCTCTACATCGTCAAGTGTGGCCCTTTAACTGAATCCGAACTTGGATTCAGTCAAAGGGCCATGCTTGATGACCTACAGGGCCACATGTGGCCTCAAGTCTGCAGATTCCCCATCCCTACTAGTTTGTTAACACACACACACACATTTTACAGATGGGGAAACTGAGACACAGAGGGGTGAGGTAACTATCGAGGCAACACAAGGTAGTAAGCATCAGAGGCAGTGTAAGGGGTGAGTTTGTCGCTTTTCCGACAGGGTGCCAATTTAATGTCCTGATCAAGTTTTCTTGTCCCATTGAACATCTGCTTTTTATTGTTTGTTGGTGTTTTCGAAGGCATTTGTGGAGACAGTGCATACTCCCCACTCCAGTCCATCCTCCACTCAGCTGCCAAAGTGATCCCTCTTAAGTACAGGTCTGAAGGCGTCACCCTCCCACTCAATAATCTCTAGGGGCTCCCTATTACCTCCAGGATCAAATCTGAAGTCTTCTCTTTGGCATTTAATGCCCGTAACAACCTGGTCAATGCCCACCTTTCCAGTCTTCATGTACCTTACAACCCCCCACACAGTACAAACTTTCCTTCCTTTCTTTCTCCCTCCCCTTCCCCCTTTCCCCTTCCCCCCTTCCCCTCCCTCCTCTTCTTTTTCTTCTTTTTTTCCCTTCCCCACCTGTGGTTGTTTCAGCTATCCAGGTGGTTTCTTCTGCTTCTAGGCTCTTTCCACCACTTGTCTCCTCCCTCCTTCCTCTTTATCCCTCAACCCTCAGCCTAGCTGCTCATGATCTTTCCCTGTCCACCATGACTGATTCCCCAAATATCTTGAAATTCTCTGTCACTATTCCTTACCACTGCATGCCCAAAGAGCTCTCCAGTGCCAGTACAGGGTGAGAGAAATTGTATCCTGGCAGGTAGGCAGGAAATCTGGGATTCCATCCTGGCCTTCCCCTCTTTATCACGAAAAGAAATAGGGTTAATCAGATACAGCTGTTGTTTTCCCCGGCACCGTCCCCCGTTCTCTTAAGATGTGCGTGAAGCTGTTTTGGGGTTCTCCACTTCTTCCCACCCGCAAACCCCCTGCCCAGCATCTTCCCCCAACCCCAGCCCAGGTGCCCCAACCGTAGTAGACTTCTGCCCATAGAAGTTGGCTTTGCCTCTTCTTTGCCCTCAACTCTAGCTCTTCTCCCCCTCCTTCCTTCTCTTCTTTCCTATCAGTCCCTGAACTCCCCTCTCTTCTTTGCTTTCCCTCCATCCTTCTTGTTCTTCATTCCTCCATTTCCCACTTATTTCTCTTCACTTTCTTCCCGTTTTCTTCAAGATCCCTCTCACCAGTACCCTTCCCTTTGTCTTCCACTCTCCTCTGTCTCTTTCTTTCTTTTCCTCTATCTCCCTCTTCTCACTTTCTCTTGCTTCTTCTCTTTCCCTTTTCTCCCTCTCCCTTTTCCTATCTTTCTTTCCTCATTCCTTTCTTATTTTCCCTCTCTTCCTTTCTCCTTTTTTCTTATTCCTCCATCATCTCTCTCCTCACATCTTGTCCTCTCTGCTTCCTATCCTTTTTCTCAGTCTCTTTTTCCATCTCTTTCTCCCTCTATTTCTTTCTCCTCTTTCCCTCTCCCTCTCTCTCACTTTCCCTTCTCTTTTTCTCTCCCTCTTCCTTCTTTTCCTCTCCCATGCTTCCAATTTGCTTCCCCCCTTCCCCTCCCCTTTTTTCTTTCTTCCTCTATCCCTCTCCCCATATCTCCCTTCTTTCCTTCTCTATTTTCTTATCCCTTTCTTCCCCTTACCCTGTTTCCCTATCTGCCTCTCCTTTCTTCTTTCCATCTCTCCCCCTTACTCTGCTTCCTCCATCCCCCTCTCCCCTTGCCCTGCTTCTCTTCCCCTGCTTTCTATATCTCCCCTTTCTCCCCCTCACCTTTCTTCCCTATCCCTGTCCCCTTTTCTCCTGCTCCCTCTCCCCCTCACTTTGCTCCCTCTCCCTTTTCCTTTCCCCTTCACTGTGCTTCTTGCCTCTCTGCTTCTCTCCCTCTCCTTTTTTCTCTTTCCCTCTTCCCTCCTCCACTGTACTTTGCACCCAAGGTCTAGCTGTTTTGCTTTCTCTTCCGTATCCCAGCACCCTGTGCAAGATGGAATACTTTGGCTACTAGACACACACTCAAAACAGATGTACTTTATTAATCACAATGACAAAACTAAATAGGAAAACGACAACTACTTCTGATGGGGAGAAGGGAAGCTCCAGGAGCCTCTCCTCTCAGGTGCTGACAGTGTGACTGCTAACAGGTATGAGAATTCAGTCCACAGAAGCTTCCCCAGTGTCTTCAAATGAATCCTGGGCATCACTTCAGTCCAAGAAGCAGGACTTTAGGGTGAAATTGCCTTCCCTTCCCAGGCCAGGAGGGGCAAACCCTGGCTCTTGGAGTGGTTGGTTTGGGGACATCAGCAGGCTGGGCACAGGTGCCTGCAGAAAGCAAACCAAATGCAGAGTCTGGAGTAGGAGAAGGCAGTTGAGTCTGAGTCTACTCCCTGGTTCCGAGGAACCCTTTTCCCTTCTCTCCCACCCTCAGTTCTTTGGCCTTTGCCACCTCCCAGAGGTGGCCAACATGGTCATGGAGACTGAGCTGGGCTTTTCTTGCTTCTGTATCTTTGCCCAAGAGGGAGTTCTTATACCTGGGTCTTGATTCCCAGAGTTCTCTGGGGCCAACACTCCCAGTTGTTCCCCACCCCCAAAAGGTGTTAACAAGTATTGCTTTCTCTAGGACTCATGAGGTACATGAACAGTACCATCCTGTCCTGTCATAGGTCCACACCCCACTCCATAAACACCCCGGAGACAGGAGAAGCCAAGAAAACCATTCCAACATCCTCCCATGAGCTGAAACTTGAATGTCTCTCACACTTCCAGGCATGGCCTCTAAAATCAGCTGCTCCCCCTGGGAACAAGGGGCAAGAGGGTGGCTCCCTTCCACTCTAGGGAAAGAGCAGGATGAGTCTGGGGAAGCATTGTCTCTGCCTGGAGTGCATGTCCCTACTTTGGTCAAGGGAAAGGGAATAGAGCAGTCTGAAGGAAAATTGCACCAGCCCCATGCAGGGACAGATCTGCAGACACCCCCTGCAGCCAGGACAGTTTCCAGAGTCAGTGACTGAAAAGGATCCTAAAAGCCTAAAGGGAACTCTCATTTAACACTATTCTCTCCGCAGTGACGGACCAGCCGCCAGAGCCCCCAGTGCCAGAGAGGGGCAAGTGAGATCTCCCATAACATGCCACTTCCTTAGCTTCAAGGAAGTCAGCAAGGTTAATATTAGGGAACATGGAGGGGGGGCATTCAGCGATGACAATGATCAAGTCACACACCCCCCCCCCCCACACACACACACACATAGGATCTACAAAATGTCCAGGGAAATGCAGTCAGGGAGGGAGGTCTGTAGAGGGAAGAATTTAGAGACAGAAAGAAAAGTAGCTCTCAGACTGGAACCCCAGATTCCCTTGCCTCCCATCATCTTACATCCTGCGCCACGCCCAGTCATGCTCCTGTTCCCTACTGACCCCTGCCTATAACTCAAATGGGATAGTGTACATTTTACCACCAACATCCTGTCCTGTTTCCCCAGTCCCAGGCATCCTCCTCCTTTCCCCTTCTTTCCCCATTATTAAGAAGGACAGACCAATATCAAAGGAGAAATACATTTCCAAGGACAGCCTGGCGTAGTGGTGGGCTACAGGGCAGGAGGCCCTACCTCCTGCCCAAGTGAGCTGAGCCAGTTAGCCATTGAGATCACCATCCAAGATCCAGGAGCCATCAGATCCTGTTCTGTCTCCCCTCCTCTGCAAGGCGGGTTCTCTCTCTCCTCAGGCCCTGCCCCTTCTCCCTCCAAACCCTCCCCAAAGGACAACAGGACAAAGCTTCTGTGACCTCCGGGAGCGGGGAGTGAATCTTTCTTTACAATTCCTCTGTGCTCCTCCATTCCCAGTTCCCTCGAAAGACTTTGGAAGGAAAATATGAAAGGATAAGAAAGCAGAGAGTAGAAACTGAGGTGGGCAGAAAGGAAGAGAAAAGTAAGAAGCCCTAGTTTGGGAGTCACAAGACCGAAGTTCGACCCTCTGGCCTGCCTCTTATTACCTGTGGTAACACCTAGGGTTGGGAAGCAGGAGGATAAGAGTAAGGAAAGGGAGAAAAAGAGGAAGACAGAGGCCAGGAAGAAAAATGAAAGGAAGGGAAAATAGAAGAAAAAGAACTGGGGGGAGGAGGATTGCCAAGAGGAAAGTCAGCAGGAAGGGCGAGTTAGTCACTCTCCCCAGGGTTCAGGGAGCTGGGCTTAGGGGTGGGGAACAGCTCATGCTTTTTATCCTAGGATTTGGTCAGACACAAGGGTCTCCTGACTGTAAGGGATGGATTTCTCCTGGGGCTGCTCCCCACCCTTTCCCGTGTTCTGGCTAGGGCCCTGGCTAGGCCCTGAGGAGTAGCTAGCCGACTTCTCCCCCCCACCCGGCGCAGCCCCCCAGCACCCACTCTGGCCACAGCACATCATGGCAGCGCAAGCCTCTCGAAAGCGGGGGTCGAAGAAGGCGTAGAGGAAGGGGTTGAGACAGCTGTTGACATAGCTAATGCAGGTACAGTAGGGATAGACGTTCATGAGGAAGAGATCAAAGTCACAGGACCAGTGCAGAAGGCTGCCCAGCATGTAGAGGGTCTTCACAAGGTGATAGGGCAGCCAGCAGAGAGCAAAGGTAACCACGAGCACCACGATGATGCTGAGCAGCCGCCTGCGTTTGCGCAGGCCCTCGATGCGCTCCTTCCGGAAGTGGCCCGCGATGGTGCGGGCAATAAAGAAGTAACAGGTTAGCACGACCGTGAAGGGGATCACAAAGCCCATCGCAGTCGAAGAGACACCCAGCCCCACCTCCCAGGCCAGCTCGGACCCCGAAGCGGCCACAAGGGAGTAGTCCATGTAACACACCAGCTTGGTGTTGTTCTCTAGTTCTCCGACTGAGCGGAAGACCATGGCGGGCATGGCGAGAAGAGCGGCCAAGATCCACAGGCCCACGGTGGCCACCACACCGCTGACCCTCAGCCTCAGCCTGGCATTGGCCACAGGCCGGACAATAGCCAGGTAGCGGTCAAAGCTGAGGCCGGTGAGGCAGAAAACACTGGCGTACATGTTGACAAAGATCAAGTAGCTGCTGACTTTGCAGGCGAAAGCACCGAAGGGCCAGCTGTAGTCTAGGTAGGCATAGGTGGCCCACAGAGGCAGCGTGACCACAAAAGTCAGGTCAGCTACCGCCAAGCTGGCAATGAAGGTGTCCGCTGAGCGGCGCTTCTCCCGGCTGCCCCGCAAGATGGTCCACAGCACCAAGCCATTGCCCGTGGTGCCCAAGAGGAAGACCAGGATGTAGATGGCGGGGATGAGAGATCCCGAGGACTTCCAGTCCGTGTACTCACACTCCAGCGTCTGGTTCTCTCCTGCATAGTAGGTGTCAAAATCGGATCCTTCTTCCATGCTGGGATCCCCACGGGGCAGGAGGAGCTGAAGGGAAGGAGACAGGAGGGCAATTCCAGCCTGTGGGTGAGGCACCCACTCAGCACTCTGGGTCCTTCAGCTTGGGCTGAGGTCTCTGAGGCTCAGTTGGAGAGAATAGACTCAATCTGGTCTTCAGTGGCTGGGGCCCCTCAGCATCTGTCCCTCCTGGTGCAAGGGGCTGAGATGCCAAGTTCTGAGTCTCCAGAGCGGCCCTGGATAGGAGCAAACTTGGCCAGAGAACTGGCTTGTCTCCCGTCTCTTCTCCTTGCCTGCCGTCTAGCCAAGGCTCAGACAGATGTGGCCAGAATTTCCTCACTGCCTCCTGTCTCTGTCTCCTCCTTGGACAGCTGCTCCCTCCTCCCACCTCCAGATCAGCCCCTCACAAGTCAGCCTTAAGATCTTTAAGTTAGAAAACCCCCCCCTCCCTTTTCCCCTCCCTGTCACTGGGTAACCCCTGCTGTGCTGGGCAGAAGTTTTATCTTCAACTTTCGTCCAGACTCCTCTCCAAGACTCCTTATCTCCCCCAGCCATCCCCTCTTCTTAACATTCTGGTCCCCAGTTTTAGACACCCCTTCACACCTTTTCCTATTCCTAACACTCCCCCCTTTTTCTCCGGACCCATGATCATCAGCTACCAACACCCCTCTAAATTGAGTAAATTATGCAGATTAAATCCAGGCAGAGCCAGGAGGGAGGAAAAAGGTCCAGGGGGAATAGTGGGTGTGAGATTTCACAGGATGCTCTGAGGTTTCTGGCAACCCTATCTGCCCTCCTGGCTCACCCCTTCAACTCCACCCCCATCCCCGTCCCCAGCCTACTCTCCAGGTATTATGCATTATAATCTCATCTTCAGAATCTGACCCCCTTCTTCCACCTATGGTTTGTGCTAGAGACAAACTTTCCTATAGAAGAAAGTCAGAGAGTTTCCTGTACCTAGAGGCACAGCAAAGCCATAATGTTAGCACCGTTAAAGACTTTCAAATATAGAATGTCAAACGTGGAAGAGAACTTAGGAAGGAAGGAAACAAGCGTTTAGTAAGCACCTACTGTGTGTCAAGCAAAGCACTTTGCACAGATTATCTCATTTGATCCTCACAACAACCCTGGGAGGTAGGTACTCTAATCCCCATTTTACAGTGGAGAAAACTGAGGAAGATAGCAGGTAAGTGACTTTCCCAGGGTCATACCTAATAAGTATCTGAGGCTATATTTGCTGACTCCACGTCTGTATCCACTTCACCCTCTAGCAGACTTAGAAAATAGGATGTCAGAATTGGAGAAAACTCAGGATGTAGAATGCTAAAGATGGGCAGGACCTTAGAAGTTATCTAGTCCAACTTCTCATTTTACAGGTGAGGAAACTAAGGCACAGTGCTTAAGTGACTTGCATAAGGTCACACAGACAGCAACAAGCAGAGATAGGATTTGAATCCAGTTTGCCTTCAAATTTAACATGCTTTCTTTCCATTAAACTATTCTGCTGGCTATAGAACTTGGAGCAGCTAGGTGGCACCATAGTGCATAGAGTATCACGCCTGGAGTCACTCATCCTCCTGAGTTCAAATCCCGCCTCAGATGCTTACTAGCTGTGTAATTCAGTCGTGTCCAACTCTTCATGACCCCATTTGGGGTTCTATTAGCAAAGATATTGGAGCGGTTTGCCATTTCTTTCTCCAGCTCATTTGACATATGAGGAAACTGAGGCAAACAGGGTTGAGTGACTTGTCCAGGGTCACACTGCTAGTAAGTGTCTGAGGCTGGATTTGAACTCAGGAAGAGGAGTCTCCCTAACTCCAGGCCAAACACTTTATCACAGCGCTACCTAGCTGCCCTCAATCTAGTCTTACAGAGGGGGTAAACTGAGGTCCAGCCAGAGGAAGAGACTTACCCAAAATGATCCGGCAAATATGTAGTAGCACAGAGGCGACACCTGTCTGGTATTGTCTGTCCAGCATCAGACCCAGATTAGAACTATCTCCTGAATGGGCCCAAAGCATGACCATAAATGTAGAGTTAACTCACCTTCCTTGCCTTTGAGCACACAGTCAGTAGCCCTGACCCAACCAGATACAATTCACAAGGTATCCTGGCTGCAAAAGTATGTGGCTGTGGGTGTGAGTCCTAGATTTGGTGTCTGTGTTCTACTACTCACGATATATATGGCGCTGATCAAATTACTTCTTGGCTCTGGGCCTCAGTTTCCTCATCTGAAAATCAATCAACAAACTTTTCTATTAAGGCACTGTCCTAAGGAGAGACAAAGGCAAGAATGAAGTCATCTCTGAATTCCAGGAGTTTCTATTATAGCTGGAGAAAGGACTGGAGCATGTGAATGAATACAAAATATATACAAGGGACATCCAAAGTAATACAAGGTAATGGGAGCAGAGATGGGGAACGGTGGGGAGTCTGGATAGGGCTCCTGTAGGAAGCAGCCCTTGGGTTGAATTTCAAAGAGAGCCAAAGATTATAAGAGGTCTCAGAGGTAAGGAGAATATGCCTTCCGTGGATTGGGGACACCTAACGCAAAGACAAGGGCAGCTAGGTGGCACAGTGGATAGAGCACCAAGCCTGGAGTCAGGAAGACCTGAGTTCAAATCTGGCCTCAGACACTTACTAGCTGTGTGACCCTGGTCAAGTCACTTCACCCTATTTGCCTCAGTTTCCTCATCTGTCAAATGAGCTAGAAAAAGTAAAGGCAAAGCACTCCAGTATCTTTGCCAAGAAAACTCCAAATGGGAGCACCCAAAGTCAAACACGACTGAAAGTTCTGAACAATGAAAAGACGGATGAGGTGGCTAATTAGGCTTAATGGCCTCTAGGTTGCCTTCTGACTCAAAGTCAGTGATAGGCAGAGAAGAGTGATGGAGAGTGTACCATGTTTCAAGGCAAGAGGCCCAATTTGAATCCAGGCTCTGTCACCACCTATTAGCTTTCCTCACCTGGAAAAAGACAATAAAGATTCTTTCGTTACTTATAGAAAGGTACTTGTTTTCACTATGGATAAATCCATACACATGCATCCAATCCTTTGGGGGGAAGGGGTTAAGAGGGGCAAGGAATACTTTATGTGCCCTAATCATGGATGATAGTGTAGTTTGTTCCAGGAAGGATAGTAATAATGCTATTGCTAAGCACAATACAAGGGTGGAGCAGGGTGGCAGACCAAGACCTGAGCCTTCCTTTGGGCTCACCCTTCCCGATTCCTTCAGAAACCTTCAAGACAGATCATAGCAGTTCAGCAGGGAAGGCTCAGCTCCCTGGAACAAAGGAAGTTGGGGGGGGGGGGGTCCTAACAGAAGCAGTATCCTTCCCCTCACCTCCCTTCCCTTAAACCTATCCTGGCTTTTTACCAGAAGGAGGTTGGAGCCTGGACCCTCCATGTGGTATGAAAGGATATGAATCCCACTTCCTAATCCTCCTAGCATACAGGGCTCCAGGCCCCAGAGGGGGTAAATGAATAAATGAAGCCTCCTGAGGAGCTGGAGTTGAAAAAGAGGCTGGGGGAAGGCACCAACTGAGGCAGAAGATGTGGAGAGTGATAATGAGATCGGGCCTCCAGCCAAGAGCAGTCTAGGATCGCCCCCAGGAAAGCCATAAGGTCTGCCCCCAGGAGCCAGTCACAACTTGGAACAAGGCAGGAAAAGTCCCGTTCTTCCTTCGGTTCTCCAGCCCAACATCGCAGTAAAGAATCGGCTTGGTGAAGAATGGTGGGGGCGAAGGAGCACGAGACTGGGGATCTAGTAGCCTGTGTTCAAATCCCAGCTTTGGTGATTCCTACCCGAGTGACCTTAGGTCAATCGATTTTCCTCTCTGGGCCTTCATCTGCAAAACAAGACTGTTGGTCTAGAGCAGGATTGTTTGGTCTGGACAGTGATTTCATCTTAAGCTGGGGTTCGAGAATTTCGGGGGGCCTGTGAACTTGGGTAGGGAAAAATTACATCTTTATTTTTGCCTATCTCTAACTGAGATTGAGTATTTCTTTCAAGTATGAATATAGATTCCAAGAAGAGGGCCATAGGCTTCCCCAGACAAGGTCAAAGCATCCATGACACAAAGAGGGTAAGGACCCCTAACCTACATACCTTTCAGCTCTAGCTAGACCCAATTAACCTAAGACTTAAGATCATAGTAAGCTGAAAGGGACCTTGTCAGACAGGGCCCAAATCTCAACCCATCCCAATACCCTACCCAGTTTACAGATGAGGAAACTGAGGTTCAGAAAAATTGTCCAAGCTAGTTAGTGATTTATCTCTATCACACCCTCATCACACCTGAAGGAGAAGTGTGAAGCATTAAGTCTGAGTCTCAGGACCTTTTGGTCCCAGATATAAGTAGGAGATGGTAAGGGAAAATGAAGCTTTTCCCATGAGGGCAGGTAAAAAAGCTGGACCCTTGGTTGTAGAAAGGTAGTGAGGGATGGTGAAAAGCACCCTAGACTTGGTAATGGGTATAGCGGAGTTCAAGTGGTATCTCTTCTACTTATGAGCTTGAGCAAATTGCTTGACCTTGAACCTCAGTTTCTTGATCTATAAAACTAGAGTGGTGGTGATTCCCCACCTATCTCAAAGAGTTATGGAGCTGAGATGGGGAAACGTTCTGTAAACTTTATCCATGGATGTCCATTTGCAGAGGTCCAACTGAAGCAGACCACACAATGGCAGACAATAAGTCAGGAGCGGAGATGAGCAAACCCAGACTTTGCAGTTGCTGCTGGAGAGGAGCGGAGTGAAGAGTGTCCTGGCCTTGCTACTCAGTCTGGGCGGAGAGAAGCTCTCTGGGGTATTTGAAGAGACAGAAATGAGTCTCCATCAGCACACAGCTACCTCAGACTTGGTAAAATGCCAAGTATATGGTTGTATTTACATCTGTAAAGGCACACGCATGTACAAAGACACAACCACCCTCAAAAATACAATCACAACTATGCATATGTATGTGTGTGATTGTGGTTGTCTTTTTAGATTTATGGGTGTGGCGGTGTCTATGTTTGAATGTGGTGTGGTTGTGTTTATGTGCATAACTGTACATGTTTATATTATGGTTGTCTGTGGTTGTTTACATTTCTAGATGTGATTGTGGTTTTATGTGTGTGGGTTTGTACTTTGGCTTTCCGTTTAGGGCTATGGCTAGGTTTGTATTTGGGTAAATTTGTACCTTGTGTGGTTGTATGCTTTTACTGAAATGTAGTGTTTGTACCTGTGCATGGTATGATTATATTTATGAGCATGATTGTATTCATCTATTGTGTAATAGTGTTTGTATTTTGTGTGATTGTGTGAGGTGGTATATCTGTAATTGTAAATTTATGCTTATGTGTTTTTTTATTATATGAGTTTGTACTTTGTGT